TATTTGGACCATTATTGGTCTCCGTATTGTTTGTTCTTTAATACTAGGTACTCTTTTTTAAGGAAAACAAATGTTTCCTGATCAACTGCATTGAGTTGGTCATTTAAAGTTTTGAAAGGACAGCTAAGTCAGGCAGATTGATAATTTTTCTTGTAATTATATAAGAAAAGAAAGAGAAAAAGAAGAAAAAATTAGCAGCAGCAGACAAATAAGCTTACAAAAAAAACTGGTTTGCCTACAGGCAGAAAAAATTTGTTTAAACAACAAGAAAAAAATTTTTAAATTAAGAGACAATCAAAATGAAAATAAATTAAACTAAAATATCAAGTGAAAGCCAAAGAAAAAAAAATTAAAGACTTACAAGAAAAATTCTAAAAGGTCAAACAAATTCTATTTAAGTTCACACAGTTCCAAAAATAAAAGAAATAATAAATAGGATAAACAAAAACAGTTGTCCGGTAAGACTTATGTTCAACCTAAAGAAGAAAAATACAAAAAGACAGCTGATACCAAAAATGTAACTGGAAATAAAAAAGGTTTGCTTACAGACTAAAAAGAATATTCAAATAAAAATGCACTAAAGGCTGATTGAATTTAAATGTCACAAAATGAGAAAATAAAATAAAATAAACTATACACTAAAGAAAAGGTAACACAAAAACAGTTATCTGGTAAGACTTAAGACAGACCAGGAAAAATACAATGGCTATTGAAGATGAAAATAAAATGGCAAATAAAAGATTGCCTACTAAATATTGATCAATTCAAAAGTCAATTGATTTCTTTAAAAATAAAGGAAATAAAATAAAATAAAAAAAAAATACAAACGAACTATACAAAAAAAAAAATGGAGTAAAACAGAAATGATTGTCTGGTAGGACATAAGTCCTACCAGAAAAAAAATAAAATACAATTGGTGATCAGAGTTGAAAAGAAATATGAAATAAGGGCTAGAAAGTCAAAAGACTGAAAGAAACAAATGAAATAAAAGAGAAATTAAATGTCTAAGTTCTTTGATGGAAGAAATTTCAAAAACCAAAAAAAGTTTTTCAAGCACAAACAATAGCGATCTTACAGGTCAGGAAAGATAACTCTAATGAAACTTGTAAACAACAGGAAAATGTTTTCTGAGGGTAAATTTAAAAAAAAGAAAAACCTTAAATACTGCCTAATGGTTAAATGCACTTTAACAAGAAGGGAAATAAGCTACTGTCACTGCTTAAAATGCATCCATTAAGCTGAAGAATGGGAGTCTAATTTGTTAGTTAAGGATGATTAGTTCAATCCTTGGTAGGAGTCAGAATAGTTAATAATAATAATAATAATAATAATAATAATAATAATAATAATAATAATATGCTATACCAATCATGGCTCTTATGGCTTCTGATTTTAATTGATGTATATGTCTTTTCTTGTAAAAGTGGGATGGATTCAAGTAAATATCCTGTTCAGTAGGACAGATTTGCTTGTCAGTTACCTGACCATAGCCTATGTGGTATGTTACCCAGAGGTTGACTCATCTTTCTTCATCTTCATGAGAGGGGTGAGTTATAGAGAATCATGGTTGGATGTCGAGAGGGTTTTTGTTTTTAGATAATTTTGATGGCTGTGGCTGCTAAGGTGATTTATGTGCCCCATCTAGATGCTGAGAAGCACCCACAATTGGAGACTCTGAATGGATTGGATCAGTCAATTTGAAAGTAATTCTAACCAGGCCCCAAATGAAAGGTTTAGAATTGCTTTCATCAAAACCTGCATTTTGTTAGCATTTTGTGCATATTTGACTGTGATACATGTGTTTGGTATACCCTTATCAGATTGACTAATATGATGATTATATTAGGATTTTGTATATTTGCACTCTGGTGTCATTTTGTTGGTGCGTTGCACTCTTGCTCAACAAAAAATAATAATAATAATAACAACAACAATGGACCTAGTGACTTAATGCCAAATCACTTAATAAAAAGAAAGGGAACAAAATGGAATTGTGAAGAGTATAAGTCATGGAATTCTTTTTTACTGTACTCAAAAATCTACAAAAGAATATCATGGATTAGACATACCAATTATAGAGAACTATGGTAGGAACTAAAATAAGACTCTATCTTGACCCAAATATGCTTACCAATGTCTGCAGGGATATTATGCAAAATGAAAGACTCTCAAATGCAGAAATAGATAAGATAAAACTAAATAGAAGACAAAGTACAATCCAAACAAAAATAAGACAAGAGTGGAAATACATAATATAACAGAGGCTGAGATACAAACTATAATGAATGAGATCTGAAATAATGATCTCTCATGAAATAAAACAGAAGAATCTAGCTACAACAGAAACAATTGTACTGATATAGATTCTGTCACTGATGAAGATGAACCAAATGACATTGGAGTAGAATTCTTTGAAAACAATAGAGTTAAAATCACTAAAGTGAAAAACCACATCATTCAAATAATCAACAAACTTGCATACAAGACATCAGAAAGAGATTGACTTCCAAAAATTCATATGACAAAGTCCAATAAATATATTGTGCAACCATATAATGCTGCATTGCAAGCATTGTTAATGGACAGACCACTAGAAAACATAACAGAAGTAAATAATATCATATATGCCAAAGCTTTAGCAGCTACTGAAAAACTTATTTTCAAGATAAATACAAGATTAAACAACAGAAAAAAGAGCCCACTTGGAGGGTAAAATTAAAGCAAGAAATTGAAGAAATCTGATGTGAGTTATTGATACTAGATGAGATTTCAAGAAATTATAATGTTTCAACATGGAAAAGCAAGAAGATCAAGCAGAAATATAAAATTAAAGTGGTAAATGAAATTCTACCAATCAAAGAAATACTTAAACAGAAATGGCAAAAGGCACAGGGCACAAGATGATATAAAAAGCCATTTAGGTTCTATTGACAAAATAAGATAAGCCAAATGGACATCAAGAAGTTTTACTGGTAAATTGGAAAAGTTATAGAAATCAAAAAAAATCTATTGAAGAATTGCAAAAATTTTGAGAGAATATTTAGAGCAGCCCATAGGAATATAATCCCAGAGTGGATCAAATGAGAACAAGAAAGAATGAAGGTTAAATAAGACTGGTAACTGTATTCAAAAGGGACTTTTAATCAGTTGTTAACTGAGGCAAGGAATAGCTTATAAATTGTAATGCCTCTAAAAAAAAAAACTGCTTTCATTTAATCACCATGGAGAACTTTTTATGTCTGCCATCAGCATGACTGATGCTAACCTCCAGAAGAGCAAATCATTGTGCCTTCTTGGTTTTATGTTTTTCATCTACAAGAAGCAGACTAATTATATTGAATCAATTGCTATGTCTACTGCTAGGAAAATTGGTTCACTGTACTGTGCCAGATAATTTTTCTAGTTGAAATCCATCTTGCACATTTATAAATCTATCATTTGTCCATATATTTGATATTGTTGGCATATCTGGTCTGGTTCTCCTACTATATATCTCAAAGTTCTTGATAAAATCCAAAAAAGGGGCTGTAATATAATCGATCTTGACCTAACATCTCAACTTCAGGCACTTTCTCACTGATGTGACATGGCTTCCCATCGTCTTTTCTATAAATATTTTCATATCAATTGTTGTGGTGAGCTTTCCTCCTTGGTGCATGTATGGATTTAAGCATGCTACTAGATTGGCAACATTGTCTCACTGTTTTATTATTGAACTATCTAGATGCAACACTAAGTTTCATTCTGATAGTTTCTTTTCTTACACTTCTCGCCTGTGGAACTCCCTTCCAGTTTCTTGCTTCCCTGCCATTTACAATCTTCAAAAATTTAGACACAATGCTTATCATCATCATCTGTCTTTGAAGTCCTTTTCTTTTACTTTCTTTTCACTTCTCCTCATTAAAGTTTTCTGATTCTTTTTCATTCTCACTAACCCCTTATGTCATAGTGGCATTATTGCCTTGCTTGGGAGTGAAATGATTATAAAGAAAATATTAAGGAGAGTTGCTGTCACTTAATCTCCCATGTAAGCCACCAGGTGTCTATTTGGTATAAAAACTCAACCAGAGAATATTAAATATAAAGAATAATAATGAAGTTGAGGGTTGTTATAATGAAATTTTCTTTTGGTAAAGACAAAAACTTTTAGAACATAAAAGAAATAAAAAAAATCATTGCAACTGCAGAATATGGTCAGAATATTTAGTTCAAATAGTTTGTATGCAATACAAATGATTAAATGTTAAGAAAAGAAAGAAATCTGCCAAGAGATTCTTTATCTATTACAAGAAGATTATGGTTCTTTTCTCAACCCCATCTTCCATACATTCCAGCATCAGTCCTCCTCAATAAATATTTATCTATCAAGAAACATGACAGAATCAATTACAAGATTACAGTAAGGATTTTGCCTGCTCATTGTGCTTCTGACTGTTGCAAAACAAACAATTAAGCAGACAGGCCAAGACATTTTCTTCTTTGCATATGCCATGGAAAAAAAAGATCAGCTAATGTGTGTGTGTGTTCTAATGGAGTGTCCGAATGCAATCATAAAGAAATCCTGATAAAAGAGATCATATAATAAGAAACTTGTCTTAATGAACCCTAAAATGTTTACCTCTGTTAAGCTGAAGAGATCTGTAATAATCTTCCTTGGGAACAAGAAGAATTGCATTACTTTCTAGTTTGTATCTCACACCGTATCATGCAATAACAGACTTTGCACTGAGAAGACAGGTTCAGGATTGACTAGGGGGATGACCTTTGGATGCTGAGTGCAAATCCACTAGTTGCAGCTGAAGATGTGCACATGTAGGAAAGAAATATATGACAGGCGGATATATAAACATCCACCCAAGAGAGGAAAGAGAACTTCTTACATTAACACAAGATGTAAAACGAATCAGTATTCAGAAAAGGCCTCAAGGCAACATATACATAAACTGTCATGTATGAGGGATTTAATTTTAATTGCTTTTTATGACAATAATGTTACAGACTGAGATAGATAGATAGATAGATAGATAGATAGATAGATAGATAGATAGATAGATAGAAACAGACTGATAGATATCTAGTTAGATAGAAACAGAATGAGATAGCTAGGTAGCTAGCAAGATAGACAGAAACAAACTGAGATAGATAGAGAGCAAGACAGAAAAGATAGATAAATAGATAGATAGATAGATAGAGGGTGCGATGGATAAATTGTCATCTAAATTAAGCAAAACTGAAAATAACACTGTCATCTCATTTTGGCAGATATACTCACCAAAATGACACAAAAATATCTTTAAATATTAAAGAGCAAATTAATTCAATAAAATCACCATTGTCTTCAATCACAGCCTCTTGCAACTCTTCTGGACGATCTCCTTGTTTTAGTTGGTGAATGCTGCCATAATCCTTGCCTTCAGTTCATCTTTGGTGTTACAAAGAGTTTTGTTGGTATCTCACACAACCGTGGCCCAATGATAATCAAGGGGGTTGCAATCTGGGGAGTCAGGTGGTCAGATGTAAAGGGTGATGTGGTCACAGAAATTGTCTGAGAGCCATGACTGGTTTCTTCTGCTTGTGTGGCATGGTGCAGAGTCTTGTTGCCAAGACATAGGGTTTTCTAACAGCCACCCTCTTGACCCAGGGCAGCACTATCTTCTAAAGGAATTTGATGTAGGCCACTGTGTTGAGCCTGAAGTACTGTGGGAAGATAAATGAAGGTATAACATCACTACCACTAGTGATCACTCCAAACACCATGATATTGACTGGATATTTGGTTTTCATTACTCTCAGTACATCTTTTGGTGACATGGCCATGGTTTTGTGTGTTCACCATCTTATTCTGGCAGAAATTTTTGCATGTTTGGCTGGAGGGAAAGCTTGAATTTGTTCAAAAGCTTTGTAGCACAATCTTTCCTCTTATACTTCATGGCTTGGGATAAACATTGGTCCTCTCTCATCTTGTATAAGAAATATTGAATGTCTTCTTGCACTATCTGCCTGATAAGAACCTCAGACACTCCTGTGTCCTGGGCTATGGACCTGATTGACTTGGAGAGATCGTTGTCAATCATGGCCTAGATCTCAACAACAAATTCAGGAGTTCTTTTCTTATCAGAATGATCATTCTGAGCTGCCATACCTTCACAATCGCCATTAGACTCATCCAACACTTTCTGAATCCTCTGCACTGTCCTCAGATTGACACTTAACCACTCTGAAATGTTCGTATTTGAGCTTCTGGCACAGTACAGCAAGCTATTTCCAAATTTCTGAGAGAATGAATTGCATCATGATGCTTCTTTTTCTCACAGATGGTGGTGCCCAAATGATCCTACTATACTGTGCAGTTGACAAAATCAAAAACAAACACAACCACTTAAATTAAAAATATAAAATGGCGACAATTTACCCATTGCACCCTGTAGATAGATTGACAGAGATAAAAACAAACTGAAATAGATAGATACTGAACAGATTTAGATAGATAGATAGATAGATAGATAGATAATGAGAAAACTGATATAATTAGATAAGTATGAACAGACTAAGATAGATAGATATAAACAGAATGAGATAGATAGGTAGATAGATAGATAGATAGATAGATAGATAGAAACAGACTGAGATCAAGAGATAGATAGATAGATAGAAACAGACTGAGATCAAGAGATAGCTAGATAGATATAAAGATAGATACAAACAGATATAGATAGATAGATAGATATGAAAAGGACCGAAATACAGAGATAGATAGATAGATAGATAGATAGATAGATAGATAGATATGAAAAGGACTGAGATAGATAGATAGATAGATAGATAGATAGATAGATAGATAGATATGAAAAGGACTGAGATAGATAGATAGATAGATAGATAGATAGATAGATGGATATGAAAATAACTGAGATAGATAGATAGATAGATAGATAGATAGATAGATAGATAGATAGATAGATAGATAGATAGATAGAAAAAGAAAGTAATCTTAATTACTTTTCTCTAAATCCCCTTTATTGTGTTGATGAAAGGAAACTGTCAAGGGTTGATGGAGAAGGTTTCATTCTAAACTATTTCTCCAGACACATATATCAATGTCACAAAAAAAGAAAAACCCACAACCTTCAAGTTCAAGTTACCAATACAAGACGTTATGCATTCACTTTTTCTTTTATGCTGTTCTATTACCAGATAAAATCTCTTGTTACTAGCATGCCATAGTTGAGCACTTGGTCAAACCATTCTCTAATCAATTAATTTATTAGACAATAATAACAAAATGGATCTGTTTCTATAAATCCTCCACCACAAAGTGTATTTCACTTTTTTCTATTTAGTCACTTTTGAATTTCTGATATAAATACTGAATATTTGTCTCTGTTATCAAATGTCTAGACATCTTGCATCATGCCAAATACCTGACCATTGCGCCACAACCTTTACTATCTATAACCCAAGCCTCCCTTTTGCCAGACACTACTGTTATGTTGGATCTCTAGAAGGCTTATGGTGATGTGACAGCATAGGGTTTCAATCCCTTGGCAGTCAAAAATTCTATAAATTTTGTGAACTGCAAAACAGGTACATATTCATAAAAAGATCCTAAAAATTTGCCAAAGAACACAGCAAAAGACACACACACAAAAAAAAAATGCTGAACTCATACATTTATGTGTGGATGTGGAGATAATGACATAAAAATTTAAACTTGTTTCAACTTATTAACCACCTAAACAAAATCTCTAAACATTGTTGCTTAGCTATATTTTTAAACACAGAAATTAAATTTATACTTTCTTTTCTATGTTATGCATATTTTTGGAATACTTGCACTTTCCCCTTGCCCCGACAACAGATCAATTACCCTGTTGATTATAAATTTAGCAATTAGATATTCCTATTGCTAATTTTCATATTCGATGTATGTAATTTACAAATATTCAAAAAGGTTTTCTGTTGTGAAGAGTTGATGGAAAAAGATTGCAATATTCTGTTACCCTCGTTGTGAACGTTGACAGGAGCCAATAGTAATAATCTTAATGAATTAATATAAGGAGTCCAAAAGCATAACAAAACAATGGTAATAATCTGTAGATAAAAGGGACATTACTAGTAAACAGCAGTAGCATTTTACTTTATTGTTGCTTTTTTGAAGGTTTGAAAAGTGTAATAAATATAGCTAAGAAAATGAACAGAGAAGAAAAGCAGTGAGAATATTCAATTGTGTTTGTTGTTATAAGAAACTGTTGCTGAGTAAGAGAAAAATAAGAAGAATATAAAAAGAATGTTGGTGAATATCTACAGTGACCAGTTGGGTGGGGGTGGGGGGTCCCCTTTTGCCTTCTGTCTTCATTTAAACAATAGAGAAGTTGGGGGTTGGTGCGCTGTTTCTGTCCACATTTTATAGTTGCTGTAAACATCTTGATAGAAGTAATAATCATGAGACTGAAAGGAAAGTCTTTGGAAGGTGACCCAAAGTCAGACATCTGATGTTTCTCTGCCAAATAAACAAATGTCTGAGTTGATTTATAAGAAAGAGAAGACTTACGATTTCATAGAAGACACATTCGATTCTGTCTGTTTCATCTCTCAGAATAAACTGCTTGCCTGTACGGGCGGGGTTAGGGTTCATGGCAGAATCTAGAACACCTGGCCAATATAAAGTTTATCATTTGCAAGAGAGAGAAAAAGAAAGAGATGGTGCAAAAAGAAAATAAGTACAGACATTAGGAAAAGTGAACAGACATTTTTGTTGATTCTGTAGCACTTTTAATGATAAAAATCAAAAGAGAATTCTTAAAAGCAATGTAAAATCTTCTTTATTTTTCCAGACTGATAAGATATCAATCTCTTAAAAAATCAGAAACTGTTTAATCTGCTGTTGCTTTGTTACAGGAATATTCAGGAGGCTTCACGCTGGATAGTTTATGGCAAGACAATTCTAAAAAACAAAAAAAAACAAAACAAAAAAGAACAAAAATAACAAGTGCAAATTTCAAGCTAGACTGTTGCATTCACTTTTATATGATATAAATGCCATTGGGAATCCATATCTTCTTCCTCCCCCATCTATAGATTAAGCAGCAAAGATGACTGGATTCTCTAGCCTTAGATGCAACCAGACTAGGAAAAAGGCAACTCTAAATAAATTCAAAGCCAACCTGAAAAGGGATGGGTTCCGTCAGGCTATCTAGACAAATCACTGTTGCTATAGCTGCAGTGCATAGATATAAATCCATCTCATTTCCTCCCAGCTATGGATTACATAGCAGACCAGACTGAGCTCCCTTGCTTTCAGATAGCAACCAGTTTAGGAGAAGGAAAACTCTGAATTCAAACCCACCTCATAGAGGGATGGGTTTCAACAGACTATTTTTCCCTAGACTTACCTAATGCAACTATAGCTGTACTACAAGTAATGCACCCTATGACTCTTATGGATTAAAGGATTCATACATTGTATAACACTTTTAATAATAAAAATCAAAAAAGAGAATCCTTAAAAGGAGTGTAGAATCTTCATTATTTCTTCAGTCTGATGAGTTGTCAATCGCTTAAGCAAACAGAAACTGTTTAATCTGTTCTTACTAACTTTCATACAAGAATATTCAGAAGGCTTAACTCAAGGAATGTTTATGGTAAGATAATTTTAAAAAAAAGAAAAGTATTCCCAAACATAACCTCTTTTTAACTATCATAAAATAAAAGAGAGGTAATTCCTATCTAAATATTTACCAATTTCATTTTGATTTTTATTCATCAACAATAATTGATTCATTTCAAATAATGAGATTTCATGACAAAGTGTAAACAGAATAATGAAATTTCATGAAAAAGAGAAATATAAGAGATTCACTCATCAATAATATTTAACCTTCGTGCATGCAAAAAAACAGTCTGTAAAAAGGATGGTAATTCCCTTGACACTGCTATTATTGTATACACTTTTGACTCCCTCAGCAATTTTATGGTTTTAAAAAGTGATGATTAGAAATTTAATAAAACCCAAACATATGTGGACAGTGGATATATACATTTTCTTTATTTTTGAGAATTGACAAGAAAGATATTAAACACCTTTTATTCATTAGATTTCTTATAAGAATAATTTTATATTTACAAAATTATAAAAATATATGAATTAACTATCATGAAATATTTATTATTTACCATTTATAAAGAAATAAATATGAAAAGAAATTTTATTATTCATAAATTTATAAAAATGTCTGTAAACAAGAAAATTTTTTAATAAACATATAATGAGAAATGACTAATATATTTTGGTTTGGTTTGGTTTAGTTTGGTTTGGTTTGGTTTGTTTTATGGCATATCAATCTCTATGGATTTTTTAATGACAAGATTTTTATTGCTGGTAATATTTTTTTCTCTAAAAAAATGTATTGCTAGTAATATTTTTTTTTCAAAAAATGTATTGTTGGTAATATTTTTTTTTTTTAATGTATTACTGGCGACAAGTTTTTCTTAAAAAATTAATTACTGGTAATGACCTTTTACAAAAATGTATTTCTGGTATTAAAACCTATTTTTGCACATTCATAGTGTTTTGACCCCAGTTTGGGGGTTAACTATTTGTCCATAGATGGGACCCTAACAGATTCTACCGCCCCAAATCAGAGTAGACCTGGGAACACCAGCAATTAAGAGGTGGTTCCATGCTCCTCAAAACCTGATCAGAGGCCTTGCAGTTGGATGTAGTTTATCATCTTACCCAGGACGATAGTATATTTTGAAAAAATGCATTTTCTGTGCATTTTTTTTCATTTGCTCTCACTGCATAAATTCACTAAAATAGGTTGAGAGCATATCTTCTTATATATTTTGATAATTTGTAGTTTTTTTTATAAATTTTTAAATAAAAAGATCTCTTTTTAAATTATTTGTTTATAAAATGGTAAATAACAAATCTTATAAAAGGTAAATAATAAATACCACATTGTATTTGGTTGTAAATAAACATTGCCAAGGAAGTCAAAAGTATATGCAGTAATAGCAGTGTCAAAGGAATTACTGACCTTTTGATAGATACATTGTTTTCTTGAGGGCCCAAACGTTAAATATTGCCAAATTTTGTTCCTGATAGAAGATTTAATGAAGGTTGCATTAAGGCAAACCTTGGGTCAACAACCAGATGAGAAAGAAAAGATGACACAAAGAGAAAAAAGAAGAAACACATAAAAACATTTTTTTCAACTCTCTTAATAAGAAACAACAAGTAATTAAAATTTCTGTCTGAATTTCTGGGTTGAATAGTTATTATTTATACTATTTACATTCAGACTATTGTCCTATTCTTGATTGTTGTTGTTATGACAGTTCAGCTGTTGTGCTCATCAGCAGGCTTAAGGTTCTTCACAGAGAATTGTCCTATGGGACAATAGATTAAGGCATCACAGTTCTCCAAGGCTCTATTTTTTCTTTTCTGTTTGAACTAATAAAAATGACAGATTAAAAAAACAGATCCATCAATTCTTTAGAAATTACTTTATGTTTCAGATATAAAACTGAGCAGATATGGGCTTTCAAGAAAAATAATCTGGGTGAATGGAATGTGCTTTTAAAAGGAGAAAGTTCTTTTTTGTGGGCATGAAGGTTAAGCATTGACCACTAATCTCCTAAAGAAATTATCCATTTCAGTCTATGATAAAAAAAGCTAAAGAGATTCATACTAATACTAATACTGCTAATACTGGGAGTGATCTTTAATTATTAAACAAGGGACAATGGCTGTTTCAGTCATTTTTCAGGATACAACAAGGCTAAGATTTCTCAAATATGCAGGATGATAGACATAATATACACTGTTTAAAGTAAAAATATAAATGCAGTATAAAAATATGAGTATCCATTATAATAATGTTTGAAGTAATAAAAATTTTGGTTTAAAAATAAATCCATTAATTTTTTTAGAAATTGCTTTGTTTACAATTCATATACAAAACTGAGAAGATATGGGCTTTTGAGAAACAATGTCTTGGTGATAAAGTGTGCTTTGCTAAAAATGAAAAAATATGACGTCTCTGAATTGTGTTGCTCCTCATAGATAATTGGTAAAGCATGTTGGATCCAAAGGTAGTTTCTCCTACAAAGTTGGATGCAGGTTCAATCTCTGGTGGGGAGCAGATTTTCTTTATTAAGATTAAGCCTGGTAGATCTAATACACACTATTTAAAGTGAAAGTAAAAATGAGGCATCTGTTTTAAACACAAGCATCCATTATAATAATGTTTGAAGTAATTATTTATATTATTGTATATATATATATATATATATATATATATATATATATCCAGGTAAGATGTGAGGCATAGATATGCATCGAAACACAACTACAATTGTGTAGTGATTTTGACATTTTTTCGGTGTAATATATATATATATATAAAAGTGAACATAGAAGTCAACACTTAGAGGCAACAGTCTATTTCATGCTAGATGCAATCATCATGCCTGACAATTGTATCTAGCATGAAACAGACTGTTGCCTCTAAGTGTTGACTTTATCATTTTTATATTTACACATGCTCTATCTCTGATATTCAGCACTTTATCCCATAAATATAGCACATCTTAACACTATATTTCTTCATATATATATATATATATATATATATATATATATATATATATATATATATATATATATATAAAGGTTGGGCTGAAAAGATCATAGAGCTGTGAAATATTGCATGCATTAATTTTAACTCTTGTTATTAATAACTGCTTAGTTTCTTTCCAGGTACAAGGGTGGGGTTGAAAAGTTCATAAACTAACTATGAAGAAGTGATGCTAGAGCTGTGAAATTTTCATGCATTAATTTCAAATCTTCTTATTAATAACAGCATTGTTTATTTCCAGGTAAATTGGCAAAGTCTATTGAAAAGCAAAACTCATTTGGTCACATTCCAAGAGAGTATCTTGGTCAGCCTAAAAACTTTTCAGCTGACTCTCATACATCTGATGAAATATACTTATTTTTGTGTGTATAATTTTTTTTTACCTAGGGCAAACAAATACTACTCTCTAATCCTAAGTGAGTGGCTGAGAAGTGAGACTTTGTTCTTATGCAGAGGACACAGATAATCTCTGGTAGAAGTTCCGATCCATATATGTAATCCCATAATTTTGATATACATAGAATAATCTATGTATATATGTTTTTTTTCTCTGAGAATATCTTGTTTCAATATGTAATAATGTTCAATGAATTAAATATGTGGCAACTAAAAAATGTTTTTTCTATTCATTTTCTATTCATCAATTAGCCTTAATTATTGAAGTCTTATTTCTTAATGAGTTAAAAGATTTTCCTTCTTGAAAATGAAATCTCAACAGATAACACTGACCATTTCACTATCTTCAAAAGAAATACCATTGAAATTAACAAGCAAACAAAATCAATGAAAGGGCAATAAATTTCACCTCTTTTACTTTCTCAATTTTATATTGATTATTTGTAAGTCGAGTGTTTAAAATTATGCATTTCCTCTCTTGTTTTGAAACTGTCCATCTGTTCATTTCCTGAAACGTTGATCATATTTTCCAGTTATTGATTTTCAATTGTCAATGAAAGCCAACATAATTGCTCTCTCTCTCTCTCTTTCCAAACTAGTTGATGCATTTTGTAGACAGAAGATTTATTAAAGCAATCTATGGATACACTGAAAACAATTACTTTTGTCACATCTCATTCATTGAATGGTGGTATGGCAGTTTTGTGCTCTCAAAACTAATTTGTATTCAAACATATCAAATGCCTAAAAGTGCTTTTCGGAGTTAAAATTAGATGCAGATTAAAGCTAACTGTGTTTCAATGTGTCTATTTGTAACTCTAATTATTTACATTACCATTGCTAATGTCTTTCTTATTTATATAAATTAGACTTGAGCAAAGATAGATTACTTCTGGGTCTGATTTGGCCGCAGCATGACATTAACAGAGAACAACTCATGACAACACTAATAGTAATGATTTTCTGTCTAACTGCCTCATCAAATGCAAATAACTCATTGTGGCACTTAGGCAGTCAAGTATGGCTAAATTGGGCTCCAATTATTGTATAGGCTTACATCACTGATAAGCAAGAAGACTTTAAGGATCAAGCAATGCTAAATGGATTGCTAAAAGGGTTAATTGTATGTTAAATGGATTAAATATAGATTAAAGAAGATATACACATACTTGCTGTGATTTTGTTAATAAACAAGGATTTTAAAATATTCGGAATTTATTCAATAAGTATGAACTGAGGGAATGTGAAAAGTTGAGTTTAAGTTGAATAGAGTTTTGATTTCCAAGGACTGTAAGTTGTAATTTTTATTTGAACTGCTTTCCACAGTAGAGAAAGAAAGCTTATATATGTAGGTATGTCCAAGGTCTATCTAGAAAGCATATTTTGACAACCAGCACAGTGGTCTTGATGCAACTTGGCAGTCAATTAGAGAGGACATTATTGCACATGTGTAAATTGTGGTTGTGTGGTTACTCAGTCAGCAGTGAGAAGCTACCAAGTGAGCTTATATACTGTGTGACTATTGTATTCATCAATGCAAGTAAATCAAAATTTTCTCATGCAGTGTATTTTTTTAACCAAGTATTGTATCACCCAGATCTTTCAGCCCCTTACACTCTTCATCCTTAGATTTGGCTCCCTTCTTCTGTCTGCTGCCATAGAAAGAGAAGAGATCATACATTGAAGACACAGTTAAAATATATTTTCCAGTGGTATTTGTTAATTTTAGTGTCTTCACCCAAGAAGGTGCATTGGGCCGTATATGATTTGCCATGCCTGATATTCTGGCCTCAATAGCACAGAATGTTGTGAGAATTAAATAAAAAAAAAATTTAAGCTGATGCTTTCAGTTTTTTTTCTCATTTTCAAAGGGAGCATGTCAACTTCATCTTGGAAGATTTTTTTCATATTTCCCCAATCTTTGTAACATTTGAAATCAGACAATATTTTTTTGACTATAACAGCATAAAAATCCTCTTCTTGTTTAAGGAACTGTCAGTATTCTTTTTTTTCATTAGTTATATTTTGTGTTCAGAGTGAGTCATAGTTTAATGTTGACAAATTTCTATTCTGGGTTAGTTATGCCAAATTATTAAACAAGTAATTAGTCATGGAAGTAAACAATAATAATAATAATAGCAGTTGTAAATTATCGATACTAGATGCGATTTCAAGCAATACAAATGATTCTACATGAAAAAGAAAGAAGGTCAAGCAAAAATATAAAATTAAAGCAGTAAATGAAATTCCACCAATCAAGGAAATACTTTAACAGAAACTGCAACTAAAGTCACAGAAAACAAAGATGATATGAAAGGCTATGTAGGTTCTATTGATTGATATAATAATAATGATGATTGATAAATTAATAATGATGATGGAATAATAATGAGAGAATAATAATAAAAGCCATTTAGGTTCTATTGACAAAATAAGATATTCCAAATGGACATCAAGAAGTTTTACTAAGAAATATGAGTGATATAATAATAATGATGATTGATAATAATAATGATATAATAATAATGATGAGTGATATAATAATAATAATAATGACTGATATAATAATAATGATGATTGATATAATAATAATGATGATGATGATGGAATAATAATGAGAGAATAATAATAAAAGCCATTTAGGTTCTATTGACAAAATAAGATATTCCAAATGGACATCAAGAAGTTTTACTGGTAAATTGGAAAAGCTATAGAAGTTAAAAAGTTGCCATCTATTGAAGAATTGCAAAAATTTTGGGAGAATATTTGGAGCAGCCTAAAGGATTATAATCTCAATATAGAGTGGATCAAAAAAGAACAAGAAAGAATCAAGGCTAAACCTGAATGGAAAAATATAAACAAGAATAATGTTAGGCAAGCTCTAAGAAAATCCCCAAAATGGAAATCCCCAGAAAATGACAAGGTACCCAATTTTTGGCTCTTATCACCTGTCATCAATCCATAAAAACCTGACATAAATTTTATCAATGCCAGGTTGGATTTGAGTTTAGGAAACAGAAAGAAGTCAGATGGAGCTAAGCCTACCCAGTAAGGGGGCTATGGGATATAAATTCAAAGCCACAGTTGGATGCTTCAGCCATGAAACCCAAGCAGTGTCAACAGGAGTGTTATCCTGGAGCAAGAGCACAGCTCTCCCCAGATTCCCTTTGTATTTTGACTTGATTGCTTCCTTCAGTTATCTTAATTCTAATGCATGGTACTCTCTATTAATAGTTTTTTCTTTTTCCATATAGCCTATCATGATTACAATTTCAGAATCTCCAAAATCAGAGGCCATCACCTTGCCAACAGATGCTGTCTGCTTGAACATCTACAGGGATGGAGAACCAGGGTATTTCCAATGTTTGTTTTGGTTCAGGTTCAAAGTGGTGAACCCAGGTTTCATCTTGAGTTATTAATCTGCAGTGGAAATTCTCAAGATCAGCCTGGAAGTGAGAAGTGTTCTGTAAATGTCAACCCTTTTCATCTTCTTTTCTTGGGGCCCATCTTGCAGACAGCTTGTTCACCCCCAAGATCTCAGTTAAAACAGTATGGACCAAACCAGAACTAATGCCTATGGACTTAGCTATCTACTGAGCAATAAGATGTCTGGTAGACAAAACCATACTGTGAATGGTATCAACTTGTTCATCAGTTGTTGAGGTTTTTGGATGACCTGACTGAGGGTAATTTTCTGTGCTCTCCCTGCCCGTCTGAATTCTACAGCTCACTTCTTCACAGTTGTATTGGAAGGGGTATCCTAAGCAAGTGTCTGTACCATCTCCTCATGAAATTCCTAGGGTGTCATACTTTCTTTTGCAGATACTTTATGACTGCTCAGGCCTCTGTTTTGGCCATGAAGATTTCTTGACCGTTCTTCATAGCTCAGCTGACTCAAGCATGCTGAATGTCATGGATCTCTGGGGCATGCAGGTTTGAATCCTGCCAAAAAGCGCATGTTTTCCTTTAATAAGATTTCTCAAACATTCAGACTAGTAGATGAAAAATATATATATATATATATATATATATATATATATATATATATATATATATATATATATGGTTTAATAAACAATTTTTTATCAATTTCATCCCAGAGGATATCTCTTTTTGCAACCAAAAATCTTTTTTTTTTTTTTTTTTTGTTAGGATTTGCATTACTTTCTGAATTTATGGGATGTGGAGTTATTATTATTATTTATATCTGGACTATTGTCCTCATCTTTATTGTTGTCATCATATCATTTTTCCTGTTATGCTCTCTGGTTTTCTTCAGGTACTTGTTGATTTGAGAAACCTTTGGGGAATTTTGAACTGAACACTTTATTCAATATACAAGAGTAGACTATTCTCATTTTGCTGTTTATATCTAGGTATATTAAATCTTGTTCTTTTCAGTAATTTTCAGTTATTGTTCACTACATTTACACTAAACTTAAGTCTATACTACCTGGCCCAGGGATTGATCTCACAATTCCAGTACCACCAAATTTACAAGCCAACACTTTAATCCTTCAAGCTATTGCCCCACAGGATCAATGGAAACAGGGTGAGCAACATCTGATCAGTAAAAATAAGATCAAGATAGGATGTATCTAGGCATGGACAGTGGAAGTAGAACAATTTACCTTTGTAGATTAAATATTCAGTTTGAAATTCCTTGGAGTTTACTCAGATTGACAGTTACCTGAAGAAGAACAGTGGCCAAAACACTTTTATAATAACAACAAAAATGAGGACATTTGACCAACTGGTATTTGAGATTGACTTGTTACTGAAAATGTTGCCAATTGAATGCTCTCTGTATTAGATAACAGGTTTTTCAGAGTCATCAGGAGAGAAGCCATTCTATCTTTGTGCTAGCCTTTCAGCAGATGTATCTGCACTCCAGTCTCCTTCACTTATGTGATGCTTCCCCACTATAGATTAAATAAATAGATCAATTTTTTTATATAGATTAACAGATAACTGAGCAGTAAACATATGAGCAAGATAGTATCAGGGTGGGCTGAAAAGTTCACAGGCTTATTATGAAGGAGTTGATCCTAGAGCTGTGAAATCTTCTATGCATTAATTTCAACTCTTATTAATAACTGCATTGTTTCTTTCCAGGTAAAGTAACAAGGGGAACTATGTTGAAAAATAAACCTCATTTGGTTACATTCTATGAGAGCATCTTGATCAAATGAACTTTTCAGCTGACCCTCTTATATCTTTAGATACATAGAGAATGGAGCAAGAACAATATATCCCCATGGATTAAATATAAAGGGTTCAGTTTGAGATTTCCTGAAGGTTATTCAGATCAACAAGGTGGGGTGGAAATAGCTGAAACATTTGGATAACAAAAAAGGTAAGGACATAAGTCTGAATGTAAATATTGTTTGACTTTGCATTCAAAATTGAAAATTCTTTCTGATAACAAAAGACAAGAAATATGCAAGAAAGTAACTTACCATAAACTTCAAAGATCATGTTGAACTTGTTTTTGTATTGGTTGTATAATTGTTTCAGTTGCTTGATAGTTGTACTAAATACTGGAGAAATGATATTTACTTGGCCAGCTGTTTTGGACTTATTTGCCTGGATTGCACTTGTACTTTTTACAGGTTTTGCCTAGCAAACATTTTAAATGATAATTAATATACATGGCATATAAAGAGATAGAAAGTTTTTTCTAGTAAAAAATTCAGATAAATTGTATTTTGTATATACGCTGGTGGTGGTGGTAGTGCTATTTCCCTTACTCACTCCCCACCCCACCAAAAAAAATTGACCCTATATCTAACAGTCCAAAGGTTTAGTTTTTTTTCATTTTACTCAATTTTATACAGATTTTTTTAAATTTTCCAAGTCAAAATTTGGGTGCACATTTTTTTAATCAATTCACTCCAAGCAAGGTAATAACGCTGCTAAGATGCAAGGGGCTACTGGAGTGAAAGAGAATAAAAAAATTTCAGAAGAAACCAGAAACCTGACCCTAAACAAGGACCAAGAGATGAATTTCTACTCCTGTTCAAAAGACCAGGGGTTGGAAGAAGTGTGAACTGGATGATAGGCAAAACTATCTATTATGGTTGAGGAGAGAAAACAAAAAAGTAAATAAATGAATTTGTAGATAAAATTCCAGAGTTCAGATATAGATGTAAGAAGCACAGAGTTGAAGTAGTCCTGAAAGAATCGGAAACCCAAGCCTGTTCAAAAGACTGGGAGGAGTGTGAACTGGATGATAGGCAAAACTATCTATTACAGTTGAGGAGAGAAAACAAAAAAGTAAATAAATGAATTTGTAGATAAAATTCCTGAAAGAATCAAACCCAAGGGTTCAGATATAGATGTATCTATTAGAAGAAAACAAAAACAGAATTGAAGTAGTCCTGAAAGAATAGATGTAAAAACCCAAGCCTGTTCAAAAGACTGGGAGGAGTGTGAACTGGATGATAGGCAAATCAATACTGGAAATATGATAATTGCTTTCTGTGGAATATGTCCAGTTGTAATTAAAACTATAACAAACAATGAGATCATCACAGGAACGAAATGCTTAAATTAAATGCTTAAACACTTAAAAACGTTTAAATTTTTTGAAATGGGTCGGACCAAGAACATTCCAGCACTCATTCATATATATATATATATATATATATATATATATGTGTGTGTGTGTGTGTGTGTGTGTGTGTATATATATTTAGAAAAATATGACAAACTGGAAAGATTTTCTTGTTTTGTGTTTCATCCATTAGGATTTCAGCAGACTGGGCCTTGATGATGTTGCCACGTCTACAAATGTGCACGAAAATAGAGACGCAGGTAGTTTCAAAATCTTTTGAAATAATTTTTTTTCTTTTCTTCCATCCACCTTTTTCCTTTTCTTATATATAAAACTGATTCAATCAATAAAATCATTAATTTGATTCAAGTAATTGTATATTAACCAATTGAAACAATGTTTCATTTCTATTATATATGATACAAATATCCCTCTTTCTCTGTATATATAAGAATATAGAGGTATAAGAATTTTTCTACATATCTCATTCTCTGATGAAGCTTTAATAAAAGGGAAACATTTTAGATTTATAATGTTTCCTATTTGTTCTTTACCCTATCATATATATGTGTGTCTGTGAAAATTTCTGATAGAGTACATCTGTAAAAGGACAATATAAATAAAGAATAAACTTTATGACATGTTTTATCCTCTGAGGCACTTTATCAAAGGAAATTCAAGGATTTTATTTTATAATAAGTATTTATAGACAAGAGCAAAAATGTAATTGAGTTTTCAAAAGTTTTAAGTTTAGAAACGCTCATCAATATTCATCAGGTTAGATGAAAAGTCAGGCAAGCTAGGGAGGAGGACACAATGTGTCACAATTCAATGTTTAATAAATTAAAGTGAGTATGTAATGTTTCTGAAATTTTTTTAATGCAATTTAGTATTTAAATTACTTTTTGGGTTTAATTTATGTGTTATATAGTTTGAATAACATGAAGTTAAGGGTTTAACATTTTTAAATTCATGTATCTTGGCTTGGGAAAGTAGAAATTCTTTCTTGAATGGAGATATTGGGAAAATCTTGGGTGCAGATTTATATTTTGATAAGATTTGATAGCAGCACTCTCAAGAATTTTCCATTTAATTAAGTTACTTTCTCTTTTAATAAGTGTGGCATTCTTTTGATCAAATTTATGGTTGAATTTGTTTCTATGTATAAACTAATGCATTTGATAAATTGTTGTGTATAAGATCCTTTTTCTGTTTATAGATAAGTTTTTTAAATTTCTTCAAGTTTCCCCAATGTATTGTGAGGAGCAGTTCTAGCAATTTATTTTGTATATACATGCTTCAGAATTATTATTGTTATGGATATTTTTGGTTCTGATCATATCCATAATAGTTTTGGATGTGGTTAGAATTATTATGATGTTGTTTTTGATTAGATAGGTTGTTTTAGTGGGTGTTATAGAGTTGGTAGGTAGGGTTATGTATCTATTTTTATCTAGTTTAATGTTGTTAATACTGTTGTTATTTTTTTGTGGTTGTATATTCTGTATGTCTTTCATTTAACATTGTGGATGAAATATAAATCTGCACCATGAATTATTTTCAATATCTTCATTCCTGGAATGTGGCTTTGAATGTCACTTGGAGAGATAGTCTAATCAATGAGCAATTGTATGGGAACCTTTGTCTAGTGTCAGATATCTTCAAAGGGTGTAGAGTCAGATTTACAGGGTATTGCTGGAAAGCTAAAAGTTCAATGATAATTTTTCTGTCACCACTTAATTTAAAAACAATTTGATGTACATAGATTTATACAAACAATTACTTTTATTTCATGGGTGACTTTTGCTGGATTTTGCAATTAATTTTGATTACTCCCAAATTTATTTCCAAGTTATAAAAATTATCATACAAAAAAAAAAATGTGACAAAAAATCACATAAAAAGCTTGCAGTAATGAAAACTTGAGAATCCAAAGTTTCAGCATTGCAGATCTGGATAGGAATGTTTTTTATTTGCTCATGGAGTTGGCCTGATTCCAAAATGGTATATGTTGTGCTACGGCCTCTAGCAGTAAAGTTGAAAAAGTGTGACAGTGATACACTGAAATTCACATTTATTATATAGATTTAATCTAAAACAATTTAAAAAATTCTTATTTTTACTTAATACACTGGATAAACTTTTGTGGAATATATTTATCAAAAGTCAATATTGTCTATTCCTACCTTTTTTTCAGTTACTTCCATACGTGGACCATTCTGATTGAAAGTAGGAAAATCTGGTGCTGCATCAGCTTCTAGCATAGCAGCCATTAAATTGGAACTCTCACCACCAAGAAGTTGACGACAGGATGTTGGTTGAAATGGCTGAGGTAATGATCTTGTTTTCACTTGATTTCTGGGTTGAGGAGTCCAGTAACTGCATAAAAAAGGAATTAAAAAATGGTAATATTATAAGAATTAATTGTATAAAGTGATTGTAAATTATACACATAAATGCTGCTTGACAAGTATTGGTGCTTATCAATGAAAATGTCCAACACAAAAATGAAAAATACTAAAATCGTTATTTTTCTGGATGTCTGATGAACTAATCAAAAATCAATGCAAACACAAACATATCATTCTGTCAGGCAATTCATATTTGATTTGTATTTCCGTTTAACCTACCTATATATATTGAGTTAAACAATACAGACACAAACCTCGTTACACAAACATTTGCTAATACATTTTGTCCACCAATATCAGGGGATACAGCCACCTAACCTCATACAGACATTCTGCAAACATATGTCTGGACAAGTTTCAAAAAAATAACTTAAACAAACAATACGTCAAAACAACCCTTATTCCCCCATAGCTAAACACTACAATCAATCAGGACACACATTAGAAAACTGCAAATGCATTTTACTTCCACATTTTGAAAAAAGAAACATATTGGATTTTAAAATTAAATACACATAAATTAGGGTTGAATAATGTTTCAAATAAATATTTCAATAGTTAAAGACTAGTAAAAAAAAATTTTTTAAATATTTATGACAAAGGATTTAAGTTATAAATATCCGAACATGACGTTCCATAGAGCGTGCGTCTAGGAAGGACGCTACTTGCTAACAAACAGTAATTTTAATTTATTTTAACAAACAGTTTCTGATGAAAAATTGAGGACAATTTGAAATATCAAATATATATATAAATAAATAAATACTTTCATAAAATAAAACATTATTATTTTTTAATTTGAAACTTTTTTATATATATATATATATAATATAATATGATAAAACTTAAACATATTTTATGTAACTGCAATAAAAATTCTCTTTTAAAATGAAAACATTGTTAAAATTTTGCATAATGGCATCTTCTTTGCTGGATTATCAAAGTGCCTGCAGAAAAATATTATTAAACAAGGATCTTTTTAAGCCCCAAGGACCTTCATGCTAACATGGATGATATACAGGCTGCTTTTTGGGGATGATAAATATAGCACACCTTAAATCTATATTCATATATATATATATATATATATATATATATATATATATATATATATTTAATTTAGGATAAAGAACAAAAAATGTTTTATTGATCTAGCATGTTTCCTTTTGCAAAAATTTTCATCAGAATAAATTTAAGAGGAGAAGGTAAAGTTTTAATGTTAAATGTCCCATTGTGATAGTGTTGTCTGGATGTCTTTGAATGCATTTCTTTATTTTCACCACCAAGTTTTTGCTATTAAAATGAAACAGGTTTGATCATGTTGAGGGCTGTGTGTGTTGGAGTTTCTTAAACAGTGATGGATGTTATGGTGAGGAAATTAAATTTTATTAGTTCATTTATTATAGATACTTAAATGTCATTATCATATGGTTTAACAAGCAAAAGTTAATCAGTCGTTTGTTTCTGTTTTTATTTAAATTTTATTGCACATTATCTAGTTTAGCATATCCAATTTGATAATGTTGTTTTGTAGGTATATATCAAATATGTACTTTTTTCACAATGTCAAAACTTGGCCTGATGAAGGTTTTCTACTCTGTATAGTGCTACATCTTTTGACACTTGATTAAAAATAACATTAGCCTGATCACACCATGAGAAAATCTGACATTGGGGCATATTGAGCTGGTTTTCTTGAACATTTCTTAACCCATATAGGATGACTGAGCCAGAAATAAAAATTCAGGTCCATTTTCTTGAAATAAAAATTGACAGACAAATACAGTGTAATGTTTTGTTTTTTTAAATCCATTCTTTTAGTGAAATATATTTTCCTTAAATGAATTCCATAACTTAAAAGGCCAAAATCTGCAGAGAAGATGGTGCCCTCAGTTCTTTTGGATGCAAAAGGCATTGTTTCTTGACTCTCTTCAAATGAGGTCATGCCATCAATGTGAAATATATTATTATCTACTATATCAACATATTTTTATAGTACTATACATCATGTGTGTATAAAGTAGTTTAAATATGCAGTTACAAAAGGCTATCAGGACAAATAATTTCAAAAACTAACAAGGTGCTGAGAAATGGAAAAATTATTTGAAACAAAAGTGGTTTTATTAGTTTCAATGGCTGCTGTGTATGACTGGCTTTGAACTGGTTGATCAACTTCCCTATTTTCCTGATTATTGTCTGCTCTCTAACATGAAAAAAATACTTAGCTGGAACCAGTATTTCAATGATGATGATGTCTTTGTTGCTGATAACTATTTTTTGACCAACAGGATGAACAGTCTTCTTTGTTCAGTCAAATATCAATTTTCTTTTTAATCATTGCATCCAAAGCAAGGCAATAAAGCCACTCAGATGCAAGTGGTTACTGAATGTTAGAGAATATGATAAAAAAAAACTATTAAGGAGAGAGAACAATCAAGGAACAAATTAAGAACAGAGTTAATAATGATTGACATTGCATTTAAATTTTTGAATATCAAACTGGAAAAAAAAACAATACATAAGAAGAGATTTAATTTTTAATAAGTTTTTGCAGCAGGCAATGAATCCACAACTTTAGCATAACAAGTCTATTTTCAGCAAGGCCTTGTATATAATAAATATTATTATTCTTTCTAATTTTATAGTTTTTTCATCATTCATAGGAACCACACAAAAAACACACACACATGAATTCAAAATGAACACCATTTTTGGATTGACACACACACACACACACACACACACACACACAAATAAATTTGGGCAAGCAAACTTTTTTTATTGAATGTGACAACCAAGGAAAATTGGTTTAATTTCTTCTGTCTTTAAGTTTAATTTCTGAGGATTTTTTTTTAGTTTCCATTTTGAGAAAGGGAGGTTAAGTGAGTGTAGAAACTCTGTCTGGATTACAGTAAGTGATGCAAATGATCATTGTCCCCAGTTCAGAACATGACATTATTTTCAGATTTCATTAGCCATTTCATTTCTCTTAAAGTCAACATGGAAAAAAATAAATTAATTATGCAAATTTTCTTGTGTTTATTTTCTAAGTTGTTTTGTATGTAAATAAAGATAGAATTCTTAGTTTGAAACCAGTTTTTGTGAGTTTTATTATTAAATATTTTGTCATTTTCAAATTGGTCTTTGTCTGTGTGCTTGTGTGTATGTGTTTATATATATGTATGTTTGCATGGGGTTGTGTGTGTGTTTATGTAGGTGTGTGAGTGTGTGTTTCTGTCTGTGTATTTTTGTGTGCATGTTTGTATGAGTGTCTTTGTGTGTGTGTACACCTTTGTATACACCTGTGTGTTTGTGTGTGTATCTATCTGCCTGTGTGTTTGTATATGTGTGTGTGTGTGTGTGTAAAATATATTGTGACAATATGAATAAAGTAAAGTTTGTGTTTTAGCCAATGGTTTTGCTGATGGTATGTGTAGGATTTTAATTTGTGTGTAAAAATGTTGTTGTGTGTGCTCATGCATGTTTGTGTTCAGTTAATTATTATTGGCTTGAAAGCAATCAGGCCTTGATCAAGGGGTAATTAGTCTCAAAGTTAATCATTCCAATTTCTGGCAGGGATAAACAAGTAAATGCAAAAAAAGGTTCAAGAGTTCTGCCTCCTTAATCACCCTTAACAGGATAAAATCCTGATGCTTCTATTTAAGAGCACTAAGAATCTGTACGGGTCAATACTTAACTGAAGAAGAAATATACATAAAAAAGAGATCCACAATGCTAAAGAAAGGCATGGGTCATTCAGTACAAGAAAAATAGAAGCCAAAGGTAGAGAATCACATACACTTAACTAGACAAAAATTAGTTGGAATTACAAATAACAATGACTTTATAGAGAAACATTGTTTAATAGAGAGTCATTGTTTAATAGAGAGTCATTGTTCAAATGAGTTGTTACTTCATTGGCAAATAAAAAGCTGCAACTTTGATTAAAGAAGCCACATTTATTAAAAAAAATAAATTTAAAACTTTGATGGAAAATTCCAATGTTTTCTTAATAAAATATTACTTGAATTTTACAAAGACTCAGGTTGACTTGACAATTAAAAAAATTACAAGAAAAAGGTTAAATATTATAACCTTTTTTATTTAAAATATTTAAAGCATTAATTAAATTATAAAAAAAAACCATCCACTTTTGTTTATTAGGACAGCCTGTTCCACAAAGTGTCAGTTCTTGGGACAAAATAAAAAAGCTGTTTATTTAACAAAAATGTGGAACTTGTTTTTATTACATTTGCAATATATATATATATATATATATGAAAAGTGATGTGGGGAAATATTATATAGAGTATTTATATATTATATTGAAAAAGCAATATCAGAGATAGAGCTAACATAGTGGATGATGTGAGTTTGTGAATATTGTCAGACAAACTGATTAATTTTCAAAATTTTGGATCTAGCAGGGATTGGTGTTATCAATAAGTCAAAAATCGTTGTTGTGATGAAAATGTATAATGCATGTTTGGCTGAAAGACATAAACATGTGGACAGTATGGGAGGATATGTATGTTGTCTTTCTCATACGCATTTGTATGTTGAAACAAAGATTGAAGACTCCATGAAAATTTAGAGCTGTAAAATCTTGTATGCATTAATTTTAACTCTTCTTATTGCTAACTGCATTGTTTCTTTCCAGGTAAACTGACATCTGACTGTTCAAAGAAAAGACTTCATATGTAACTAGTAGTGACTTCTCTTGAAAATGACAAAATTTTGCATTATGGCGTTATCAAGTGCCTGCAGAAAAAGAGTTTAAGCCCCAAGGACCTTCATGCTGACATGTATGATATATTAGGGATGACAATCCAGCTTTATCATTAAAAAAAAAAAAGTAGGCAGCTAAATTTAGGAGTAAAATCTTAAAGATGACCCAAGGTCTGGATGTCCTGAAATGTCACCACCAAAGGAAAAATTGATCATGTTCACTACATGTTGATGGATGAC